GGCCGCGGAAGCTCCCTTCCGAAGCGTCCTTCCGAGGCCACCGCCGGCATTTTCCCCCAAATTGTGGGCAATCTTTCTTCCATTAAGTTACTTGTTCTGCACCAATACTTTAGCATTCTTACAGTTATCAGACCCAAAATTATTTTTGTACCAAGTTCTGCTCTAACTAAATAAGCTGGGGTAGAATGTGAAACTTCCAGGATAACCTGATAAAATTGTGTTTGAACTTGTTCAATTTCCTTAAGGTCTGCAAAACCCAATATTTCAGCACCATAAATTATTATAGGAATTATCTTAGCTTTAAAAAGATTTAAAATTGGATTTAAAGTACCTGGATAACTGTAGCTTAAACGTTTATAAATTGACTCCTCTTAAATAGAGGAATGATGATACAGTACTTGTTTTCCAGTCTTTTGGAATACAACCAGTCTTATTTGTATGTGTAATTAGCCCAGACAATATGGAGGCCCGCCAATTTAATTACTTTCAAATAATTCGGAGGGGGGGGTGTTAAGAAATCCTCCCTAGGAACTTTATTATTCCTCAGAGTCTGAATAAGCTGTTTTATCTCCTGCACTGTTACAAGTGACCACTGAGGTATTAAGCTTGCGTCCTGAATCCTTGGGAGTTTAAAGGTTATTGTGGGTTTTTCGGGCTCTTTGGCTGTGTTCTGAAGGTTGTTCTTCCAGAGCATGGACAGAGTTCCTACTCCAGTCCTCTGAAGATGTCGGACACAGAGACTGGTGAAACGTCAGGAAGAACAACCTTCAGAACATGGCCAAAGAGCCCGAAAAACCCACAACAACCAACAGATCCTATTGTAAAGCAAAGTGAGGCAGTTGCTTCAGGAGGCCAAATAAATAAATGCTTCCCTGTTTTTTAAAAATAATATTAAAAATTATTATTTAAATCCTTGCAAAGAGAAAACTAGCACAGTAGGGGAAAAATGAGCCCAAATCTTTGTTCCTAGTGTACTGTACTGGTTCATTTTCCACTTATAGGAAGTTTCCAAATAGATGAGAATTTAAAAATTGTCTCCTATCTGCAGTCTAAAGTAGTATTCGCTGTTCTACTATCTTCTTTTGCTGAATGAATAGACCTGACACAAACCTTTTAATACATTTGTCTTATCAAGTGGTGTGTGAAATATTGAATAAATATTACAGTGATTTAATTATAATCTACCCTAAAATGCAGTTTCTTATTTAAAGCATATTTAAAGTGTGTTTAGCATTTACAGGGGTATGATTTTGTTGTATTCCAGAGTTTAATAAAAGTGCCCAACTTTTTTCATTAAATTGTTAATATTTCATTTTCCATTTTACCAAACATTTTTGTCTCTCTGAGAATGCTTTAAAAGGTAAAGGTAAAGGTTCCCCTTGACAATTTTTGTCCAGTCGTGTCCGACTCTAGGGGGCGGTGCTCATCCCCGTTTCCAAGCCATAGAGCCAGCGTTTTGTCTGAAGACAGTCTTCCGTGGTCACATGGCCACTGTGACTTAGACACGGAACGCTGTTACCTTCCCGCCGAGGTGGTCCCTATTTATCTACTTGCATTTGCATGCTTTCGAACCGCTAGGTTGGTGGGAGCTGGGACAAGCGACGGGCGCTCACTCCGTCGTGTGGATTCGATCTTACGGCTGCTTGGTTTTCTGACCCTGCAGCACAGGCTTCTGCGGTTTAGCCCGCAGCACCACCACGTCCTGAAGCTTTACCTGAAGAATAAAGCTGGTCAGTTTTGTCTAGGCCTAGAACTCACAACACATACACACTCTCTCTCCTTCTCTCTTTCTTAGGTTATTGGTTTCCTCAACCTGATTCTGTGGGCAGGCAATGCTTGGTTTGTCTACAAGGAAACCAGCCTCCATCAACCTCCGTCAGCAGCTCCACCAAACCCAGCCGATCCTGGTGTTCCTTCAGGGATGTAGAGAGTGTGAAAAACCACTGAATATGAAGCTCGGTCTCTTACCGCAGGATGCGCACCACAGCCATTTCCCCCCACCCCTGCCCCAATTATGCAGTTGATTTGTGAAAAATGGATGGGGTTTCCTTTTCTTTCTTCTTCTTTTTTTTGCAGCAAATCCTTTTACAATATGTCAGAGGACGGAGCTGAGATCTCCACCTTGACCCTGTGTGCACCCAAGAGATGCATTCTATTGCGCTTGTTCTGCACACGGAAAAGAATCATGTCTTGGTTAAAGCTCAGCAGAGCCAGCTGCTTGCAGCCTTCAAGAACTAGCTTTCCAGCTGACATAGGCAGAGCTTAGAAAAGTTTCGTTTTGTTGAACTGTGTTTCTCAGAATCGATTGTTGGAGCATTCTGGGAGTTGCAGTTCAAAAAATGTAATTTTTCCCCAAGCTGGCCAGGTCAGTGCACATTCAGAGCTGAGTTGTACTGGTCTGCACAAGATGTTACCTAATCAGATGGTCCTGTTTACTCCAGTGGAAATCTCACTTGAGTTTCAGTGAGGTTTAAGTAAATGTGCTAAGAATTGCAACTTTGGTGTGGTTTGGAATAAGGCCTTATCTGCCTTGCCGTCAGGAATTGTACATAATGCTTGCAGAGGTTGTTGCCCTTATATATTGCCCTTAGGTTAGCATCCACTGTCTAAAAATGTAAATGTCTGCTTGATATTGTATTGTGTGAGCATGAGCTAGTCTGCCAAACTGTAGGCTAGTAAACCTAGGCATTGTAGGGAAATTGAAAGTCTTGCATTAGACATAATCTGCAGATGAGAGGAACTAGGAGTCTCTTACGTCCAAGAGCTCTGGAAATCTGCACTAAAATTCCTTTGGTATCAGACACAGACTCCAGCAAGCTGAGCAGAATACTGACTTTCAAATTGAAGGTTTAGTTTCCAGTCCTTATGACTGGCAGTAGAATATGGGCCTTCATTTCAGTATAAAGATCATCTTTCTTTGACCCAGAACCCACCTCTCCTTTCCCTGGAACAAGTTACATTAGTCTTTTTGGCCTTTTCTGTAAGAGCTTCACAAAGTTAGACTTTCAGACTGCACACATGAAGCAGCCCACCAGAGAAATAATGCTCTATGCAAAATGTACAGTGGCATAAGAAAAAGAAACCACACAAATGCTACCACCAGAGCCCGCAAATTCTAGTTATTCAGTTAAGTTTCCAGATTTAGAATTTGCATTTGCAAATTGTTATGACAGCTCAGCTGTAAAGTTGCAGCATTATTGCCAAATCTTCTTTGTTCTTTGCATATGTACATGGTAAAATTCTTACTGTGATAGTTTCTGAGAGTATCTATTAAAAGGGCAAGATAGCAAATGCCAAAAACCATGAGGCAGTCACTGTGAAGCTCAAAACCCACAATAGCTGCTTTTCCTCTCACTCCCTTTAGAGGTGATCTGTTATCAATGTATTTTGCCAAGAGATTGTGCCATCCAAATGTTGTGAAGAGGTTGTGGGATTCAGTAAAGCATGTGAATTGGAGTAGTTTATGAGATACACACACATTTTGCATATATTATAATTTTTAAAATGTCATTTAATATGGAAACTTACCCGGATGGGCAATTATGGCCCTTCATACATTTTTTACAATGCAACTCCCATATTCTTTTACCATAGGCAATGGCTGATGGCAGCTATAGGTGAAAAGCAACTCTTAAAACTATATAAAAATATTGCATGCCTGGTTTTGCTGTAGGAGATTTTCAGTATATTTTATATGTGTGCATAAGATTTCTGTTTTTACATCTGCAAGATGGAGGTTAAAGCCATGATTGTGAGCATAATTGTGTGCAAGTTTTAACTACGCTAAAGTAATTTATTTCTTAGAGTTCTTCACTGTATTCAGGCTTCAGAATCTTCATCATGCGTACAGGAGAGTTTCCTTCATTGTCAGTTCTGGCCAGGTGTTTCTGTGAGTTGGTGTGGATTTTGGATCATCCCCTGGAGACCCACCCCCCCATTGTCCTGCAGGTCCTAACCTGCATAAAGTGAAAGTTGGCCCTCTCTGCAGGTTGAACTTCAGCTCTCAGCATGGCCAGTGGATAATGATCCTGGAAGGTGAAGTCCAAACATTTGGAGTAGCAGTGGTTCAGTACCAAGGTTGGAAAACAGGAGTGACCAGAGCTTAGGCCTTGTTTTCCATTTGGACTGTGATGGCTACGGCCACAGCCAGATGCAGTATAGCAGTTTGGAGAGGCAGAGCCGCATCTTAAACAGAAAAATTAGGTAGAATTTCACTTGTAGTTCATGCACTAAGATGATGTACCTCCAAGTTGCTAGTGATCAGGGATTCTAAAAGCCTTATTTGGGTTGGTGGGGGGAATTAACAGTGCCTTTTTGTTTTTCCTTTTATTCAATGAAAGATTCATAATCAGGGCTGTCCAAATCATTTTTCTGCCTGAGGCAGAGCAGCAAATACTACCCCATGAAATCCAATAGTACATAGTATTCAAAGTAAGTTAGGTTATTTTAGCATCTAAGGTAGAAAATCCTACAAACACCTTTCGCCTGGTAATATCACTATAGAAATACAGTGGTGCCTCGCAAGACAAATGCCTCACAGGACAAAAAACTCACAAGACGAATGGTTTTGGCAATGAGGTTGATGACTCGCAAGACAAATGGTCCTATGGCCGTGCTTCGCAAGACAATTATTTTCCGTTTTTTGTTCCTGCCTCATGTTTGCTGATTTTTAAATGTTTTTCTGTGATGTTTAAAAAGTTAAAGTTTTTTGATTGACATTTTTGAAATCAGCTGCACAATATGTATGGCTTTAAAGAGCACTTAATAAACCCTTTTAAAACCAAATTTGACTTTATTTTGACTTTTTTCCCCATAGGAACGCATTAATTAGATTTCAATGCATTGCTATGGGAAAACGTGTTTCGCAAGATGAATTTTTCGCAAGACAACATTAACCGCGGAACAAATTAAATTCATCTTGCGAGACGCCACTGTAACTAACTTAGCAATTTTCTGTCCTTCCATGATTCCCAGAATCTGCTGCCCAAGTCAGCTGTTTTATTGTGCCTAATGGTAGGGCTGGCCCTGTTCAGAAGCCCATACTGTTGTAATGATATTGAACCAGTGATCTGGGACTAAAATGCAGTTTATCTTCTCTACATCCTGAAGCTTCAGTGCATTCAAGAGTCAGCATGTTGGAAGAGATTATAAGTCAGCTAACTGTATTTCAGGAAAGCTTGCTTGCGTCTCATTGAGGGATTTCCTGGTAAGCTTCCAAGGTTTTCTCAGACCTCTTTTTTTGAAAAGCACTGATTGAAACAATGAAAAAGAATTAGTAGGTCAGGGGTGCTTTATTTGTTTGGTTTTTTGCCTCAGTATTTAGGTCAGTCGCCATGACAGTTGCTTTTGCTTTCCTGTCAGAAATCCTTGTCCCAAAATATGATGTTATTTTTTCAGAGGAAACCACTTGAAACCTGAATACATGAGGAACAAGGTTGGAGAATGAGAACAATTTTGTTTCATTATTTTTTGTACATCTAAAGGCTTTTCTTTTTCCTGAAATAAACCAGTGACTTGTTCCCTTGCCCTTCAGTAAATAAAATAACTGTGTAAATGTCTCCTCCTGCAGAACTTAAAAATTATTTACTTTGTTTTAATACGATTTTCTAAATTTGTAGAACCACACAGAATAAGCAAACAAACACCATTCCTTTATAAAGAGAAATATTTTGTTCCTTTCCCCCCCTAAAGCTTAAGTTTAGAGGAGAATAATAAAGTGAACTGGGGTAAAGCAACAAATAGGACTCTGGTATCATCACCACATGTATCATTCTAAAGGTCATACAAATCAACTATTAATACATTGCTATTATATATTTGTTTCTCACAGTCCCAGATATATGTGAGTTCCAGTATTTAGATCTGAATACTGTAAGAATCTGTGTGATAAAGTGGAGTGCCTTTTCCAGTATATAGCTATTGTTTATAATACTGTAGTTCTACAACAGACATATAATCTTGGAGCCAATTTGCTGGTTACAAAACAGCAGAATATCCATTGAGGAAAAAAACTAAGAACAAGTTGTCCATGTTCTGCACTCTGTGCTCATATGCCTAAAACAAGTTGCCCTAAAAAGGCCTCTGTAACACTAAGAGGCTTGTACAGGGTTGCATTGTCACCTTAATGTCCTTAATAACTTGTGCTAACTCCTTAACCTTGCCATGATTTGTAATCTTCATGGTGCTTGGTGCTTTAAAAATGGGATATGTGACCTCCAAGGCAAACTCCTACTTATTGCAGTCTTTTTTCTTTTTTAAGTTTCTAGCTCTCATGGTTGCTTTGTTATTTTTCCTCTGTTTTTTTCTTGATTGCTGCATGCTCTGTGAGCAGAGCTGGATGAAAACAAGAATGCCTCACAGGAGAAAGATATTTTTACTGAGCTATCATGTTTATCCTTTGTTAAAAATAATAATTCCATGCTTTTGTTTGGTTTCTGTTTGCCGCCTCCTCACGCCCATGAATCTGTATAGCCTCTCAGTCACTCCCTACAGGTCAGACTGAATGTGGCAATAGGAAGTTCGCAAACTGAGGGACAGCAAGCAAATTTCTCCCCTGGTTCAGCCGCTCAGAGTGGTGTAAATATACCAGATGGGCAGGATATAAATCAAATAAATCAAATCAAATCAAATCAAATAAATAAATAAATAAATAAATAAGAAATAAGACTCATGCATGAATACTTATAGTTGTTCTGCTGTTCCCCTGCTTGGTTAAAACAGGCGGGGAAATCTTTGTCCCTCAAACGTGATCTTCAACTTGCACATTCACCACAACAGAAGGGTTTGTGTGTGTGTGTGCATGCATGAATACTTATAGGCATCACAGGATAGAGGTGGGGAATCTCAGGCCCTAGAGCAGAGTTTGGCCCACTGGGTTCATAATCTGGGCTTCCCCAGCTGAGCGTAGCTGCTAACTCGCTTCACAATCATTTGGTATTTTTGCAGATATTTTATTAGGTTCCTGCCCCCACAGAAATAGTTTCTTCCCGTAAGATCTTCAAGTTAAAATGTAGCTGGTATTTCTCTCTCCCCCCCATCTTCTGCCTTTGGATCCACCCGCCACTGGAATGTAGCACCAAGATTGAAAACGTAGAAAGAGGCTCCTCACTTTTACTGTAGGCCAAAACATGAGGAGGGCCAAAGGTTCCCCAGTCCTGGGCTGGAGCTTAGTGCTTATTCACAGAGGTAGGAAAACTGTGACCAACCACAGATGATGTATTCCAGCTCCCATCAGCCCTTAGCCAGCATGCCCAGTGGTTGGAGATGGGGGCCCTTTGAGTTCAGTGACATCTGGAGAACTAAACCTTCCCGCACCCCTGGAGTCAGCAATAGATTTTCCTCAAAGACTTGGATGAAACTTCTCAGCATAAATGTCAGGGCATAATAAAAAAGTACAGTAGCTGCCTAAAATGGCCTCCCTTATTTCCTCTTTCAGGGATGAGAGCAAATGGAGAGAGTATTCATGTGAAATTCACTGGTGTTTCTCTGGTTGCTTGGATGCTATTGGCAATGTCCCTTTAAAACAATGGGGTGCTGATCTGCGTATTGCCAGTTCAGGGGACTTCGGCAGATTTTAAAATGGCAGCCAGCAGTGCAGTTGGGCTAGAAGTTACTTTTGTGGATCACAATTCTGATAATGCCCAGGGAACACAGCCAATGTCGTCTCAGGGATTCTGGGAAATAAAGTAACAGTAACTTTCCTAAGCGTCACCAATTTTACACCCATCAAACTCTGTCCTCTGGACACCCCCCTCCACTGCCACCTCCTTTACCTCATTGAATGGTGAAAAAACAAAAGAGGGGAAGATTGTAATTGTAATTGCCTGTTCATTGGTTTACCACTGACTTTCAGTCTTTTAAGGGAGGCCCCAAGAATAATTGTATGGATTGAGAGAGAAACACAGTGCATAAATAACCCCTCAGTTTGTCTTGAGTTGTAAAGTTGTTGAAACACTGGATTCATTTGAAAACCTAATTAACTATGCAAATATGTGACTAATTAATCTGATTTATAATAATGCTGGATACATGAATATTTGGCAATGGGAAAATGCTGAAATACATATAAAGAGCATCTTCTCCCTTTGGGATACAGTAGCATGGCACATCACAGTTTTTTACCCCTTGCTCATAGATTTCTCCTACATCTCTCCATGTTTAGATAGCATAAGGAAATGTACAGCTTTTCTCCCTATAAACAAACATACTGTGCCTTATCCAAATAATTGGTATTAAGCTCCATATGTTGTGTGAGTACAGAATTTAATTCCTGATCCATAGTGGTTGTTTAGAATGACAGCTGATGCCATTGTTTGCTTACCTGCTTTTTCTAAAACGCAAGAAGATGGTGGCCAAATATATTTGTTATAAAAAGGCATATGTGCACCTGTTTATTTTTTTATTTTTCCCTCTGTTATCAAGATTGTTTGAAAAACATGTAGGTGTTTGTACACAACCAGCGTAATAAAAATATTTGCTCACTTTTCGCGTGTTGTGAGTTGATTCCAGAACTTACCAGGATATTGTTGGACTTGAATGTATGTGTATTACTCTGTGCTGTTGTCATGGCATCTTGAAAAATCTCAATTTATATTTCGAAAGAGATAATTCAGTCCTCACAAGTCTAAATTCTTGAAGGAACACTTTTATGCGGAGGTACTGATTCCAGTCCTAAACTTCAAATTGAGACCAAGTAGAGCATGTGGGTGTCTTGTGAATTTTTTTTGTAAAGCTAATAAAGGTAAAGGTTCCCCTTGACAATTTTTGTCCAGTCATGTTCCACTCTAGGGCGCGGTGCTCATCCCCGTTCCCAAGCCATAGAGCCAACGTTTTGTCCGAAGACAATCTTC